TGCTCAATGTCATAAATCATCAGAGAAATGCAAATTAAAACCATAATGAGAAACCACACCTGTCAGAATGGCCATTATCAATAAATCATCAAACAACAAGTGTTGGCAAGGACGTGGAGAAAAGGGAACTCTCATACACTGTTGGTGGGATTGTAAACTGGTGCAGCCACTATGGAAAACAGTATGGAGGTTCCTTAAAAAATTAAAAATAGAACTACCTTATGTCCCAGCAATTCACTTATGGGTATTTATCCAAAGAAATCCAAAACACTAATTTGAAAAGATTAATGCATCCCTATGTTCATTGCAGCATTACTTACAATAACCAAGGTATGGAAACAACTAAAGTGCCTGTCAATAGACCATCACATAAAGAAGAGGTGGTACATATATACAATGGAATATTACTCGGCCATAGAAAGAATGAAACCTTACTATTTGTTACACCATGGCTGGACCTAGAGGGTATTATGCTAAGTAAAATAAGTCAGACAGAGAAAGACAAATACCATATAATCTCATGTATATATGGAATCAAAAGAACACAATAAACAAACAAAACAAATAGGCTCAGAGATACAGAGAACAAAATGATGGTTGCCAGATAGGAGGGGTTTGGGCAGCTGAGGAAAAAAGGGAAGGGATTAAGAAGTACAAATTGGCAGTTACAAAACAGTCACAGGGATGTAAAATGCAGCATAGGGAATATAGTCAATGATATTGTAATAACTACATATGGTGCCAGGGGGATTACTTTGCAAGTTATATAAATGTCTAACTACTATGCTGTACACCTAAAACTAGTAGACTGTCGACTGTAATTGAAAAATAAAAAAGAAAGCATCCCCAAACCAAAATAGATTAATTTTACCTGTAAATGTATCTTTTATACATCACAAATATTAAAGAGTATATTGCAAAGATATATTTATAGAGAAAAATTTAAAGACATATAAGCATCTAGGTTTTAGTTATGTTCCTTTATTGCTAATATTGAACTATTTGCTAAAATATCCTCTCCTCCTTGTCCCAATTTTAAAGAGAGAAATTGTGGATTTCTCTTTATCTACCAACTTTGCGAACAAACATTTCCTCAATACCCGCATCCCGCTCCCCCCACCACTACCAACTTGTACTCACAGGGCACAGGGCCTTGGTGTGGTACATGTCTATCTTTGCTGGCCAACAGTTCTCTAATTATTCAGCTCAAATGTAATCATTGAAAGAAGCTTTCCCAGGTCCAGCTAGCTAAAATCAAACTATATGCCCTGTAGTTTTTACATTTTTATCAGAACTGTATTTCATGGTAGGAAGTATGTCTGATATAGTTTGTATCCCTGCAGGACTTAGCACTCAAAATAGATTCATATATGCTTATTGGATTGAACTGAAATTTATACTGTGGGAAATCAGGACAATAGTTAGGAATGCAAACAGAATATCAGAGTGTGTATGGAAGCTCCCAGAATAAGCCTGCAGAATTTCCCTGATGACTATTGTATGTTTGTTCCCAGGACATAAAATGGGGAAAATATCACTTTTCCTTTATCTACCAATTGCATCCCATCTAAACATACACACATTTTATGATTTCTTACACTTCACCCCACCATTCATATGGACCCTCAGTGTCCACAGAAGGCTGAACCCTTTGTGCTTACTTAGTTACCCCTCATGCTAGATCAGTGTGGGACCGAAAATGCAAAGGATCCATTCCATGAACACATTTAACACAGACTTAGTATGGCATCAGATACACATACCAAATTTTATTTTTTTTTTAATATTTTTATTGGGGAATTGGGGGATGGGAACAGCGCTGGGGTATTGAGGGAAGGGGAACAGACAAGTTACTGTCGGTTTGTTCTTCAGTCTAGTTGTGGAGGACGTCGCTTCACTGGCCCAAGTTGGCACCATCATTGCGCTCTTCCCGGGCGAGGCACATCAGTCGCCAGCTTCTGGATGGCTGCTCACAGCGGCTGCTGGCCGCTCACGCTGGCTGCTGGCTACACACGGTAGCCCATGGCAACCCACTGCCACAGGGGCTGCAGCCTACGCCGTCGCTGGTGACTCATGGCAGCCCAGCTCCAGGTCGAGCTGTTGTTCAGCATCATAGCTGTAGAGGGCAGTGTCACTGGCCCTCATATGTGGGATCCGAACCGGGGCCCTCTGGCGTCCCAAGCCAGCTCTTAACCAATGCACCACTCTGCCGGCCCCCAAACAATTTTTTAATGATAACCGAGAATCCCAATAACAAACCATTCAATGAGGGTCACAACTGAATTAATTAGACTTTATAAAATTCCACATATAGGAAGATGTGACTTTTGTTTTCCAGTGACCTAGATTAAAATAATTTAAGTTCATGAAATTGTTTCCAAGACTTAACACAGACTTGAAGTGGGAGTGCGTGCAGCTTCCCAGAGTTACTGTGTTCAGTATAGCAGGGTTCTGCTCTCCTGAACTCATCTTCGCCATCTCTACTTTTTAAACTTTTTCCAAAAGCCACATTATATCATGCTTGTGAGAACAATTGACTTATCACTGTGATTATTATTGCTAGTTTAACAAAAGATTAAAAAAACTAAAATGGAATTACAAGGGATATTTATGTCCTCTGAAGACCTATAACAGTCATGACACAAAGAGCTGCAGTTTATTCCTTAATATGAGGAAATTAGATAATTTCCTGTCAGACTTGCTGAATCCTACAGCCGCCAACCCTGTGGAGCACGGATGTAAATCAGAGGAGCAAATAGATTTTGACATTTAAAAAGGGAATGCACAGTAGGAATTTAATCAGCACATTTGCCAATTTAATATTCCCTTTGAGGAGAGGTTTCTTTCAAAAAGATTCCTCAAGTGGTCTGTATCATGATGCGCTCTTTAAAGTGACAGCATGCCTTGGGTTCTAGCAGAAGTTGAGGACTCACTCTCTCAGTGTGTGACCTTTGGTACACTCTCTCTGCCCCTCATTTATCCAAAACGTGCTGGCAGGATCCAGACATGATGTCTACTTAGCCTTCTTAGCTTTCTTAAAGAAAACTAAGGATAAAGATGCCTTATCAGTTATTAGTCACTGATAATGAGCTGCTACTCATTAGCCAATCAAACAGCAAGCATCTATTTAGTGACCATCAGTTTAATATGAGGACAATGAATACGGTTGTGGAGGAAGGAGACAAAGAGAAAAAGATCCATTCGGAATTTATTAAGTGCCTATGTTGTAGGCACTATACCAAATGCTAGAGATTTTTGAAGTGACTGTTAACAGCTATTTGCCCTGGAGAAGCTCAGGGTCAACAAAGACACAGGCCAATTGAAGGCTTTACATTTTCTTGTAAAAACAGATTACACACCCTTAAGATAAGACACTAGAGATCAACTTACTAGCCAGAAAAAATCTCTACAGTAAAGCTCTGTTAAACTTTATTATTATGTATTATTATTCCCATTGATAGCTGAATTTATGATAATTAGGGTGGAAACTTTTTACCTATTGGTGGAAAATACTAAAAATGTAAGGAAGATATAGAAAGCGCTTTTCCATTACTGTAATGTTAATATAGTGAGTTGAGAATATGTCTGTCCTCCACTGTCTTTTTCTGAGAACCACATTGTATCATGTTTGTTAAGAACAACGACATACTAATGAGAGGCATAATACCCAGGGAGCCTTACATTTTAGAAACCAAGTCCTATAAAAAGGAAAAGAGTGTTTTCTGATAGATGACAAAGAGACATTATAGAACTTATAACAGTTTGAGAAAGTTATTTTAGAATAATTTTTTTTATTTTCATCCTACTGACTATCCAAAAAATTATCTAGACAGGTAAAACTATCAGTAGGTTGTATTTTAAGGCCTACTTGCAAGTCAGTGATTTTGGATTTGCCACATCCCCAGAGAAATATTTTTATATGAAAGATCTAGTTTCCAAGACAGTCCGCAAAAGTATAAGTAATTTGTAATATGAATGATAAATCATGCAAATACTGTGTTTTGCAAACTATCAACTGCTACATTCATGGAGATCTATGAGTTCTGTAGAATTTTAAAATTTTGAGTTTTTCTGGTGATTATCTACAAAAATTAATATTGTCATAGTCTAAATCACCTAAGTGGACACTCTTTTATATGATTCTCAAAACTGTGTTTATGATTATTTCTATAATTGTGTTAGTCATGTTATCATCTGATTTAACAGTATTGGAGGTCTACTATATATAGAGGGTGACAAAAAAATATTCACACATTTTAAGAAAGGAAAAAACTGTATCAAAATTGTAATAATACATACCAGAAACAAAAGATGAATACAAGACATGTGTATACATTTTTTTTTGGCACTCCTGGTATATTGACTAATACTTGTCTACCTTTTGGTTAGCTTGCCTTAGAAATGTTCTCATAAAAATACAAATTTCTCAATTTTTTTTTAAGTCAGAAAACATAGCAACTATGGGCCTGCCACTCCCTGTGACAATCACACTAACTGAGCATTGACTATTTGTAATAGAGGTCCTGCTTCTCTCATATAAGTTTTTCACCTATATAAAAATTAAGGTTTGTGTTTTCTGATCTAAAGCAATGTTGTATATTTCCCAGGATGCAGGAGTAAGGGTTCTGGGAAAAAGGGGTCTATCTCTTGGCATATGTTGTTTGTAATACAGATATTTGTGAGTAGGGGCTTCTGCTGGATGTGGCTCCTCTCCAGGGAACCATCACACTCTTCTCTGTAGTCATGGTTTGGTATACAGCTTGAAATAAAAACTAACCTTTAGAAACTAATTTCTAAATGAGAGCATTCGTAGACCCAGAAACTTGCTGAGTTAGAAGAAACTCTAGGGCACTCCCCTCCCAGGCCATTCCCCAACCTTCCACATAATGCCTGCCTCTCATCCAGTATGCTTCCTTCCCTGTTGTTATTTGTTATTCATTTTTACTGCATTAATATTTAAAGATCATTGAAGTTACTCAACTGAAAAGGGCAACACTTACCACCAACCATGCAAAGGTGAACTCAGATGAAATTTCTGAGGAGATATTTTGAAAGCATGGTATTTCCAGAGTCTGATTTATCTCTGTTTCTATTGTATTGTTGCTTCTCTGTTCATCCTGTATAACTGTAGCAAAACACAAAGTAGAAAAGACACGGATCTGTGATTGGTATATAAAGTGCTGTTTATTGAAGAAATGAGAACAGGTTTTCTGTAAAGACCCATCTGTCCTCAGGGTATACCTATGAAGTAAAGAGGCAAAACCCCAGTACAGTCCTCATTGTACAAAATGGCACAACAGAGCCACTGAAAACACAGTGTTGCTTATCACCGAAAAATTAGAGGGACTCTATCCTAACAGAATCCAGCTCACAAATTGGCATGTTGCTCTGCTTTATCCCCAAATTGGTGCTTTAGTCTTCACATATTTCCTTAATCAGATAGAATATAAAACTTTATAACCTATCTCTAGTAGTCCATTACAAAATTTCAGTACACTTAGTTTTTTAAGTCTGTGAACCTAAAACAGCAAAATTGAGTGAAAAGTACAGAGAGCTCCCATATACTCCTTACCCCCATGCGTGTACAACCTCCCCCAATATTAACATCCTTAACCATGCTGGTACATTTGTTACAATCGATGAACCTACACTGACTTATCATTAGAACCCAAGGCGCATAGTTTATTTACATTAGGGTTCACTCTTGGTGCTGTACATTCTTTGAGTTTTGACAAATATGCAATCACGTATCCACCATTGTGGTATCATACAGAATAAATTCACAGTCCTAAAATTCATCTGTGCTCTGCCTATTTATCCCTCCCTCCCTCCCACTAAACTCTTGGTAACCACTGATCTTTTTACTGTCTTCATAATTGTCTTTATAGAGCTTACAAAACAGTTCTCCATAGAAGGAGTGATACAAAAAATATATAAGGAAATTCTGAAGAACTAATGAATTATTTTCATTTTTAAAGTGATATGAGATAAATATGTTTTATAGTCCCTTTTTTTGGGAAAATGTATATATATATATATATATATATGTATGTATATATACACACACACACACACACATACATGCATTGTGGCTAAACTACAATAACATCAAAGAATAATTTATTGAAAACAACTCTATCATCCTAATACTCTAAAAATCTTATTTTCATCCTTTCTATATCAATACAAACCTTATTTGTATGCATTTTTTCCTCACATTTTGCAATCCTATTAACTGACAAATGTTACCTATATTTTTACTTAAAAATGTTCTGCATGATTCTTAAAGTATGTGTGGTGGACATTTTTAGAGACTTTATGTCATTCCATCATGTATATCCATCATAATTTGTTTCGTCACTTCGAATTATTGAATCACTATTTCTTTCAGTTTGGGTTTTTACTTTATTTAAACTATTACAATCTATATAGCAAAGATCATCCTTATACTAATAACTTTCTTCTGACCATTCAGCTACATAAGAAAAATTCCTACAAGTATGATTAATGGATCATGGGATATGAACATTCTTATTATTATCAAATATACATATATTTTTAAGTGGAACATTCCTCAGCTTGAGAATGCTATATCTAGCCTTCAGAACTTTAATATATTTTAATCTGTCACCAGTTTTAGCTATCTGCTTGACTGATAAGTCTTTACTCCTCCTATCCTTAATTGAAACCCGGCCTTCCTATTAGGGCTCATCTTCCCTGCATCATTCTCAAATACATTTGCCTAATGTACTCATGTTCCCTCCATCCACAGAAGCTATTTCAAACTTTCTCCAATCTCTTTTTTTCTGAAGCCCCCTCCCTTACCTGAAGATGATTTTGTTTGCCATTTTAGAGAAGATATAGAAGATGGCACCTCCTTCAGTAGATGCACTCACCTTATTTTCCCTCTTTCCTGTTCCAGGAAAAAATAAACAAACAAACTGTCCTTTTTTTTCTATTTCAGGATAGTCCTACTACTAGTGTTATAGGTGTCATTGGTTCCATATTCTCAGAAACTTTATTTACTTTATCTTATTTATGGTGTATTTAACTACTTTCTTTCAACTGTATACTGTCCACTGGCTCTGAAGCATAGGTAAGTGTCTTGCATTAATTAAAACCACCACCCCCACTCCCACCCCCACAACCCCACCACTACACTAATGAAAACCCTCATTTGAGCACTCATATCCTTCACATTACTACTGACAGGTTTCTTAGAAGTTGCGTCAACATTTGTTGTTTTCATTTCTTTGACTCCTATTCATGCCTCTTCTACCTCCAGTCTGAATTTCAAATCTATAATGCTACAAAAACAGCTGTGAAGGTGATCAATAAATTCTACTTTCTTAAATACAATCCAATACAATTTTGTCCTCTCAGAACATCAGAAGCAATGGCTATATCTTTTATGAATTACTATTATCATTCTAGGTTTCTGTGACCCAAATCTCTCCTGATTTTACTCCTGTGTATTTAGTTGCTGCTCTATACCCTTTAAACATTCATTTTTCACCGTCCATCACCATAGACTCTGTTGAAGGGCCACACTGATTTTCTCACTTAAATTTTCTCTACCTAGATGATTTCTTTCATGCCCAGAACTTCAGTTAGTACCCACAGTCAGGTGGCTCACCAATTTGTAGCTTCAGCTTAAACCTCTCTCCTAGATCAGGAATTGTGCATCCAACTGTTCACCTGACATCCCCTGTCTGTTTCAACTTCATGTCTAACTCAACATGTATAAAGTCAAACTCAAAATAACCCCTGCATAGTCTGATCATCTTCTAGTCTTTTCTAACATAATGATCAATTCCTCCATTTCTTCTGTTTCACATATTTGAAAACAAAGCATCATGACTGACACACTTTTTATTCCTAACTCCACATATGCAATCCACCACCAAATTCTGTTGAATCTCCTAAACATGTTTCTAATCTGAACATTCCTCTTCATTTGCCTCACGGCCATTTTTCTCAACATTACAAGTATCTCTCACCTAATTTCTGCCATTGTCTTCTAACTGATCTACGCTGTCCCCTGCATCCTCCTCCAATCCATTCTCTATACTGTGGCCACAATCATCTTTTTGAAATGCAGAAAAAAACAAAAATAAATAAAAACAACTACTTTCAATTAGTTTCCACAGTGTTTACGATAAAAGCAAAACTTAACCAGATTAATCAATCTCTCTAGCCTCATCTTTAACTGCTTCCCTTTTATAAAAGCCATAATACCTTTTACAATTCCCCACAGTCACTGTATCTTCCTCCTAGCACTGAACCTTTGCACATCCTATTCTTCGTAAAGCGATGTCCCCGTCTTCAACTGGTTCATGCCTACTCAATCATCACTTCTCTAGGAAACCTCTCTTGATTTTTCTGTTATGTCCTCTCACAACACTGTCTACTTTACTCTCTTACTAAAGAGATTTCCACTCCTCACTGTTGCAGTTTGACATTTGTTTGCCTATTCAATTAATGTCTGTCTCCTCCGATTGGACTTCCTGATTCCTGAGGGCAGACTCATGTCTGTATTGCATACCACTGTATCCCTCACCTAGCACTATCAGCACTTAAAAACATTTGGATAAAGACTAAGTACAAGAATATAAAAAGAGACAGCATTCAAGTTCAAGAACAAACTATGCTATAAAAACAGGTATATGGATCAGTGGAACAGAATAGGAAGCTCAGAAATAAATCCACACATCTCTGATCAATTAATTTATGACAAAGGAGCCAAGAATTTTCAAGGCAGAAAAGACAGGGTGTTTTTTCAATAAATAGTGTTGGGAAACCTGAACAGCAAAAGAATGAAACTGAACCCCTATCTTCCACCACATACAAAAATCAACACAAGATGGATTAAAAACTTGAACATAAGATTTAAAACCATAAAGCTCCTAGATGAAAACATAGGGATAAACATTGGTCTTGGCAATGACATATATATATACATACATAAATACATACATATACATACAGTAAAACCTTGGTTTGCGAGCATAATTTGTTCCAGAAACATGCTTGTAATCCAAAGCACTTGTATATCAAAGAGAATTTCCCCATAAGGAATAATGGAAACTCAGATGATTTGTTCCACAACTTAAAAATATTCATATAAAAATGATTACAATACTGTAAAATAATACAAAATAACAAAGAAACTACAAAATATAAAGAAAAATAAACAAATTAACCTGCACTTACCTTTGAAAACCTTCGTGGCTGGTGTGAGGGAGACGAGAGAGGAGGGTGATTGTGTAGGATGACTTTCACTGTCACTAACGGAATCACTGCTCTCTATTGGCTCAATGGAATCTTTTTCTTTTCGTGCAACCTTAACAAGGAACCTATTCAATGACACTTGCTTTTGCCTCCTTTTGAGGTTTCGCGGAAATGTGACATTGCACTGTTGTTAAACAGATTCGCACTGCTACAGCCTTATTCGGGTGGTGTTTTTCTACAAAATTTTGCACTGTTTCCCACATTTTACGCATCTCCCTAATCTAATTTGAAGTGAGAGATCCCTCCGCCTTTTTCTCCTCCTCCTGCAGACGAGATCTCCTCCATAGCCTCTTGCTGTTGCTCGCGATGCAGATCCATCAGTTTGTCGGTGGTCAGCTCCTGGCCAGGTTCCTCCACCAGCTCTTGAATGTCATCCTCATTCACCTCCAGTCCCTTGGTCTTCTCCAAGGACACAATTTCATCGACAACTGGCAGCTCCTGTTCATGAGCAAGCCCCTCTAAGTCATGTCCAAGAACACAATCAGGCCACAGTTTTCTCCAAACAGAATTGAGGGTTCTCTTGGTTACCCCACCCCAGGCTTTATCGATGATCTTGAGGCAGTTTACGATGTGGAAATGATTTTTTCCAAAACTCTCAGAGGGTAAGGTTTGTTCCTTCGATCACCTCGAAGCATCACTGAAATAATACTTTGGGTGTAAAGCTTTGTAAAGTTTGAAGTGACCTGCTGATCCATGGGCTGGAGGATTAGAGTGGTGTTGGGAGGAATGAACTTGACCTTAATGAGCTCGAATTCCTCCAGTAAGTCACCCTCAAAGCCTGGAGGATGAGCAGGAGCATTATCCATAACCAGCAAGGCTTTGAGTGGCAGATTC